AAAGCAAGAAATCACCCCCCAGGGGGGATGGTCACGCCACAATCCCTTCTCCTCCATTCTCCTCTCGGGATCTTGGGCACGCATGCACACGCGCCCGGCGTGAGTTTTAAGCCACCGGGTCTGGGACGTGAACTGCGGTCGACTACGTGGGAGTCCCGCGACATAGCCATTATGCTAACTGCTGGTTCCCTGGATTCTGCTTCTTGTACTCACAGTTACATCACACCTGGCTAGCACCTTGCTTCACATGGCAGGTGATACAGGAAGAAGATACAGAATTAATTGATGAAATATTGAAATGGTAATTCAAAAGTACCTAAAAAGTGGTGCCTTGATAGAGAAAGAGATTTGGAAATTGTATTTCAAGTTATTTTTTATGTTGATTTAATGATAATAATCTTAACTACTTATGTCATCCTGTTTTAATATAGACTTGAAAGCTTGAGACAACCACTGGGGCATGGCCTTAAGAGCCTAGGTAACTAGAGGCAAGAAGCCTTAATAGCAAAAGAAAGCAGATCTACTTTATTTTCCCCATTAAGAGGTCTGGGATAGGAAAGTAGAGAGACAACACATTATGTCTTCCTCTGCTACAACTAGGTGATGTGGTTACCTTACAATCGAAGTACTTGGGGTGAGTTTGCAGGGGGCTTGTGACTTCTCTCAATCCTTTTTTCAACTGACCCTACTGATCCTCTGAGGGGGTACCTTCTTTGAGGAAATGGGGTCACACAGCTACATTTAATAGTGGGGACAGATTCTCAGAATGTTAGGAAATTACAGTTCAAGAAGGACTTTAAAAAAACACTTATAAAAAAACACAAAAATATCAAATATATACAGGACGTTGGTCAAGCAACTTACCATTCTGCTTAAAGACACGCTTTCGAATACTAGTTATAGGGCGGTTCATAAAGTTTTGTTCCATGTGTGTAAGAGTTTCTTTGATCAATGGCAATCCACTTATAAGAACTGAAGACATGTCACCAATCTCAAGGCTCAAAAGGTTCCCATATTTCTTCACATACTATAAAACAGTTAAATAGTTACATGAATATGCACATGTTTACGTGTTCAGGAATGGAGGGCGTGTGGAGCTGGAGGGCTCATGTTGAGAGTGTGTGTGTGTATGTATGTGTGTGTGCGTGCACCAGGGTCTGATAGGAATGTTTCTGTTTCTTCTTACCCTCCACTCTACTTGAGTCAGCTTCAATTCACTTTAGGATGTGGGAGTTTTCTTCTAAAATACTTAGTCATGTATTAAACCAACATGAATTGACTGAGTGTCTTCCATGTGTCTTAGGAACAAGGCATGAGGCTACAGCCATAGTAATATAAACAAGGTCATTAACCTCAAACATTCTAGTCTAATAAAGACAGAAAATACAGCACATCTGACCCCCACAAACCCAGAAAGAAGAAATGTTTAATGTAAGTTTGGTGTAGCAAGTACAGGACTCCGAAGTAAATTAGTTTAACAGAAGAGAATGTGCCCTTCTACACGGGGCATAGAAAATAGAAACACACAATAGGCAACAGGAAGTACATTATAGTGTGGGGCGCCATGTAGACAAACATGCTAGCTCTGAATCTAGCTTTCAGATACTGTGACTAAGCATGTCACTCAGTGTTACTCATTGGGTGTTTCTCTCATGGGGTGATAAAGCCTTATCCATACATACTTGAATATATAGGCATGTATTAATATTGGGTCCTCGAAAAGACATGATGAATTTTTGCATAGAAAAAATGTGTCATGACTTTTCATATGATCCAGTACGTAAGGTCCTCCAGGCATATTAGGGAAATGGGAATTAACATTGGTCTTGCGCCAACTCTAAGCCTCAGGAATGCTGACCACGTACTGTGTTAATCTTCACAACTACCTGTCAGAGTGCTGTCTCTCATCAAGGTACCTGTGCTGGGTAGCAGTGAAACCAGCTGAGGAATTATGACAAAGTGTTCAATACTGAGAGCACATTAAAGAATTCAGAGTTGCCAGAGTTAAGGAGCCCTGGCGGGAGATTCTGAAGAGGTGGAAGGAGGCAGAGTTAGCAGGTCCTGACAGGCTGAAAAGAGGCTGATCTTTGTTTGGGAGGCAGCGGGAGGCACTGAGAAATCTAAGGAGAGGAATGCCATTTTAAAATTATTTAGGGCCAGTTGTGTAATCGAATTAAGAGAACTGGATCCCAAATATTACCAATCAAAGTTGAAGACCGGTCTGGCCCCGGTGTTTGAAAAACATGCCGCCCTGGCCCTGTGTGTACAAAATGCCAACTGAAGGAGAAATGAAAGAGAGGAGATTGTGGACCATGCCTCACTGGGGGATGCTTTCTCCCACCTTCTCTCTCTCTCTCTCTCTCCCCCACACCCCACTCCTCTCTCTTTGGAGAGTACACACACTCTCTGGCAATTAGAAAGTAAAAAAAAGTAATTATTTCAGTGAAAGTGCATTGCAGGAGGAGGAGCTTAGAGGTTGTGGCTCTTTAGTGTGGTGGGAGTAATCAGGCTGAGAATTGATGAGGATTTAAGTTGTCTATTACCATCTCACATATGGGGAATGGAGCCTCTGATAAGGAAAGTACAGCGTTTTTCAGGTTAACAATATAAAACAGGACAACATAACCATATTATAGGAAGTTCCTTTATGTTAGTAGTTTAACAAGATAGCACGCAATTAGTTAAAAAACGTTAACGCTCCTTGCACTCTTAAAAAGTCAGCACCTAGTAACAGTCTGCCCCTAGTCAGCTCAGTGGCTGACACCGAAAACGCAGTTCAAAGCGTTGTTACAGGTTAGGAGGCAAACAGGTTAGCCATCCATTCTTGCGTCCCAGTCCTTGGAATGTCCCTTGTCCTGCAGATCACGGTCAGTGCGTGTCCGCCCGTTCCTACCTTCTGAAGTTTCAGGTGTGCTTGCTCAAAGTCCACAAGCAATAGGTGGCCAACGAAGGGCAGGGACCTGGGCCCCGGCGGGTAGTTCTTAGGGTGCCGCCTTTTGAGGAAGTCAGCAAAAAACAGGAAGACGACAGCGCCCAGCAGGAGGGTCCGGAGATGGAGCACGGACCAGAGGGCGGTCAGCAGGGAGCCTATCTCAGGGAGCATGTCTCAAATGTCGGTTCGCTCTTCAGCTGTCGGTGCCAGCAGAAACTGGGCTCTTTCAGTCACCCTAATTCGGCTCCTCCCATCACCGCGGCCACGCCCCCCGCCCTCCGCCCGCTGCCACGCCCCAGTCGTGTCCCTGCTTCACAGGTATCCTCGGACCACACTTCCCCACCGCGATAATGGTGGGCCTTTGCATTCCGGATCCTCCAGGGTCTTGTAAAATGCCAGGCTAAGAGTGATTTTTTTTTTTTTTCGATTTAGAAAATGCCTTTCTGGTACACCTTTGAGTTTCTTGGTTTTAATGTTCAATGTACACTGTCATGTACTCAACGCAGAGATGCACATTCTGCTTAATATTTGTCTAAATTATTTAATGAAATGAAAAAAAATCAAAGTCTCTTTATCTTTCCGAAGTCCAAAGAGAGATAGTAGTCAATTTGCTATATCTTTTCAATCCTCATTTTCTTTTTTTACTATAGTTGTTGCACCCATATAGATCAATTGTATCTGTTTTTCTTTGAATCTCAAACAATTCTAGTATTTGTACATGTTATTTTTAAAGGATACTTCTACAGCTTCCTTTTCAAAAATAAAAACATGTTGAGATGAATTCTGATTGATTCGTGTAGTTCTAACATATTGAATTTAATAGCTGGGAAGCATTATATTACTACACTACCATTAATTAACTCATTCCCATATCAATGGGTATTTTGATTTGTTACCTCTCTCTTTCACTTTCTTTTTTCTTTTTAATTTAGCTTTTTGCCATAGGTCACATGTGCTTACTGGAGGAGAAGGGAAGAGGGAGAGAAAGTGAGAAATCATTCTCCCGGGGGGATAGTCACACCACAATTTTCCACTCAGAATTTTGAACATGCATGCACCTACACTCAACATGCTTAAGGAACTGGGACCCAGACTCAAACCATGCCCATACCTATATTCTGCATCTTTAGGTACACATGCTCAAAGTCCAAATGCAGCAGGTTGCCAATGAAGGGTAGGACCCTGGGATCTGGCAGGTAGTTCTTTGGGTGCCACCCATGTCAGCCATGTAGGATACAGTGTCTTAACCAACCACACCACCGACTAACCTTTTCTCTCATTTTTATTTTTAAAAATTAATTAATTAAAAATTTTACAGAGGTTTTAGCTATAGAGCACATGCCCTTGCCAGAGAGTCAGAGAGAGACAGACAGAAATGGAGAAATCCCCCTCCCTCCCCCCTGCCCCAGGTGGCTTTGCCATGCTGCAATCCCTTCTCATTCTCCTTTTGATTTTGGGCATGCATGCACATGTGTCTAGCATGAGATTTAAGCCACCAAGTCTAGGATTTGGACTGTGGTCAGTCATGAGGGAGTCCAGTGATGTAACATTTATGCCATCTGCTGGTCCCAGCTTTTTTTCCTTTTTAAAGTTATTTTGCATTAAAAACATGCAGCAGAGAAATGATATCCATAATAACGGTAGCATGGGGAGCTCCTTTTCCTACCGAAATAAACATAATAGGTAAAACATATTTATAAACTCCAATCATTTAAGCCTCTGATAATTGTTCTAAGGACACACAACAAATATTCAAGAAATATCTACTAAACTTTGACAAAAACAGAGTCTGTGGCATTTGAGTCATAACCCACTCCCTCAGTCCCTTGCTCTATGTGACAAAAACTCCACTGTAAGCATAGCATAGCCCAGAACACATCCCCTAGCTCCTAATTGAAGCCTGTAATATCTCCCTGAGAGGGAAAGGCCGTCAATATTTCCCATGCCCTGCTGCTAAATCTCCATGCTACAGAAACTCTATTGTAGGTCAGAGTGGCTGGGAAGTTCAAGGATACTCTCCATCCAGCACCACTTAGAGGGAAGAAACAATACCTTAGGCTGGTAGACTGGAAATATTGAATGTGATTGTCCTCACCCCAGCTTGCTCAAAGAATTAAGGTTTTACACTAGGATAGGTTAGCCACAAACGCCAGACACCATACCCCAAACAATATGTATTTTGGTTGTAGGAATTTAATTGGAGGCTGGTAGTTTCAGGAGAATAAAAAGCTAAACCATAGGCAGCTAGAAGTTTACAAGCCTCATTCAGGGAAAGGAACAGCTAAGAATAGCCTTCCTGGGGCCAAAACACAACTCAAGGTCAGAACAAAAGGCCTATTTCTGAGAGAGGTCTACATTTAATTGGATCAAATGTGAAGCAATTTATGTCCTAGGGGTACTGTTGAGAACAATACAGTAGGTCAAGCCCTATGGCCTGGTGGTTAAAGCAGCCAGATCCCACAGGGCACCAGGTGGTTCAAGTCCTACACCCTGTGGCTTGAGGAACACTTCACAAGTGTGTGTCTGTGTCCAAATTCCTGACAGGAGGGACAGATGGAGGAGAAGGGATTGCGGTATAACATTTCCTATGTGGGATGCTTTCTCCTTTTCCCTCTCTGGATGTCTGTCTTTGGTGAGTATACATGCCTTTCAGCAACAACAACAACAAAGCAAGCATTCAGAGTGAGATCATTAGAAGTTAGTAGGGACTAACAACAGTGTATAATACCCACATAGCAAGACAGCCGAAAAAAACACAGGGAAAAAGACAGAGAGCTGTGCTCAAACCAATTATTATGAGCATGTGCATGCCCAAAAGTCAGTGTCTTCAGTAGAGAGACACCACAGGCTTTACACTGTGGGGAGAACAGACCTTAGTAAATTTGTCAGTCTAGCCAAGAATAAAAATGCAAACAATAATAATTCCTGGAAAGAGATTATTGCCCAGAATTGCTGTAGTATATTATCTAAAAGGTACACTTTTCAACAAAAAAGTTGAGATGTGCAAAGTGTGTGACAAAAAACAGGAATGAAAGCAGGCAATTGAAACTGTGAGACATTTCATGTGTCAGATTTACCAAAGACTATAAAACAGCTTACTTTTAAATATGTTCTATGAGCTGTAAGAAACCATGGTTAATGCAGTAAGGAAAGCTGTGATGACACTACCTCATCAAACAGAGAATATCAATGAAGAGATAAAAAACTATAATAAACATCTAAAGGAATTCTGGAGCTGAAAAGTACAATTACTTTGAAAACCACTAAAAGGTCTCAAAAGTAAATATAAATTAGAAAAAGGAAGAATAGGTAAATGTAAACATATATTGATAGAAATTATACAATCTAAAAGAAAAGAGAGAGAAGAAAAGATAATTACTAGAGCCTCAGAAAAATCTGGGATACTATAAAACACACAAACATACGTATAATCAGAGTACCAAAGAAGAAAACAAAGAGAAAGGACCAGCTACATTTTTGAAGAAATACTGACTGTAAAGTTCCCAAATTTCATAATGCAAAATTAATGTGCACATCCAAGAAACTCAATGAATTCCAAGTAGGATAGGTCAATTGGATTAGCTTTTCTTTGAATTCTAAGCAGCAAGAAACTTTGAAAAGCTCTATGGCCTTCTAGAGGGTACAGTTGTGAACTATTTAAATTATTTATAAATTTAGTTCTAACCACCTTTACAAGAATGATTTTTAACAGTTTAGTACAATTTACCATGGGGTGTTTTATTTGGTTGACTATGGCGAAACTCAACGAACCACCAGTGTTCCTTGGCTCTCCATTTTATGACCTTTATATTCTCTCAGCCACCCCACTCACTAGGAGTGAGCAGATTCTGATATTTGATTCCTTGCTATAAAATCCTCTATGAGGGCTTAGTGATTTAGGCTGGTAATACAATAGGTATTCATAAAATCTGTGGAAACTTTATGAAGAAACTGCATAGATTTAAAAACAATTTTTTACAAAATATTAATAAACACATACTTTAATTCAGCTTTCCATGAACTTTTGGTGTCCCCTTCTACTGGCCACTAAACTTTCAGTTTGCATAACAAAGTACTCTTACCACACAGTTAAATCCAATGTTAAATGGCTTGGGAATACATGCTGGGTGGAGGGTTTGAGACAAGGCAGTGGGATTCTTAGAGATGGCAAATAACTATCATTTCCAAATTTGTTCCCCATCCTGCTTCCCAGGTTTGGTTAACTGTAGTTGCTATCTACCTGGCTCTGGATCCAAGATCAATGTAAGAGCTTCTTTATATAAGTCAGCAACAGTTTCAAAAGCATTTGCTTTCCTTTCCATTAATGAGGGACTAATACTTGCCCTGCTGGACTCCCAAACATTCTCAGGCAGATACAAAATAAGCAGAAACAGAGCAATGAAGTGGGAGAGCCTACATGGCCAACCTCTGTGACTGTCTTTAGCATAAAAATTCTCTTACCTACTATTTTGATTCACTTTGACCTCAACCACCTCAACACACCAAAAGCAAATGAATACATGTCTAAAAAAAAAAAAAAAAAGGAATGGGCCAACAGGTAGCATAGTGGTTAAGGTGCTGGACTCCCACATGGCTGACCATGGTTTGAATCCCAGACCTGGTGGCTTTCTTTCTAACTTTCCCTTTTTCTCTCTCTATCTCTCTCTGGTAAAATTTAAAAATAAAAATAATTAATAAAATAAAACAAATAGTTATTTAAAGAAAGAAGGAAGATAACTTTCAACTCTAATTTTTAGGATGAACTTTATGGTTTACACACCACGTATAGTCCACTATTTCCTTTTATCTTAAAAGAATTTTCTTTAGGGAAGAAATCATTATGTTCATTTCATCTCCCAGATGAAAAGGTAAATCATTTAGCCCATAAATGATTTTCCTAAGGCTAGCTAATTTGAAGGTTATTGCCAAGTCGGGATTTGAGTCCAGGTCCCTCTGAATTTGTTTACCCTGATATTTTTCTCAGAGTCATTTTCATTCTGTCCCCTCACATCTTAGCAGGCACTGGTAGTTTCAGAGCACATGCTAATTCTTCTTGATTTTCTTTCTCCCACTTTTCCCCAACATCACACCCGAGGAACAGCACAGAGGCGGTGGCTGACAGGGGCAAGGGTAACGCCTGTTCTGAACTTCAGGCTGAGCTTTTCATTGTTTGGGGGTTTGAAGGTAAACTTTTGCAGAAGAGAAGTGAAGAAAATAAACAGCTCAGTCTTGGCCAACTGTTCTCCAAGGCAGGCCCGCTTTCCTGAAAGACAAAAACAGATAACAAGTGATCTTCTAGGTGTCCTGGATGCCTATAAGGGATTGATATTGTAGACTATATTCTGCCAAACCTGAGGAGAGGGAGAGCTTGTGAGATTCTGGGGCTATATATCTAGGATCTAATTTAAGTCCGACAACAAGCTGGGTTCACCAAAGAAAGCAGAAGTCCAGAATCATAAAATCCAATGTTTTCATAGATCAGGCAGGTGAGTTTCAGGTGTGGAGGTGAAAGTTATAGGACAATAGAGGCAGAAGGCTTGTGATAACTTAGAAGGTGAGTTTCCAGTCTAAAGGCTTTCAAAATTTACTTAATACAGAAAACAAAACAAAACAAAACAAAAACAAGGGCAGATTAAAAAAAAAAACCAATGAAACACTGTATTATTTTCAATCACTCTTGCTTTTAAAGCATGAACATCTATTAAGATTTCTCTCACCATGGTTGTAATGAATATTAGGTAAGGCATTATTTTTGTGGAAGCCACAGAATGTCACATTTCTAGCACTTCAGCATTTTATGGATCTGGCACAAAACCAAGCACCAGAATAATGATAAGAGGTGAAATACATAGTCATGATTTTTCTGATGACTCAAGAGAAATGACTACAGAAAGCAAGACTAGAAGGTAATCCTACAACATGTATCACCTTATATATTAGAGGGATTTGTTCAATAGAGCAGAGGTGACACGGAACCAGATGGAGAAAGATCAAGAGAATATAATTAGAATCAACCCAGTCACACCCAGGGCAGCACAGCACAGTGAGGAAGCATGGACTTTGGAGTCACACAGATGTAAGGGCAGTTCCAGTTCCTCCCTTTTTGAGCCTTAGGGTCAGTATCAGCAAAATGATGCTGTCTTAGTTATATTTTAAGTAAATGATAGATAAACTATCATACGTCCATAGTGTGGGTTCTATGTGGTATTCAGTAATTTTCGGGAGATAGTATGAGGAGAAATCCACGCTTCAGATCTAAGTAAATCTGGTCAGCATTGAGTCCCAGCTCTGCCACAGGAGTTTTATGATGTTAGTTTCCACACTTGGTTAGATCTCAGATCCCTTATTTCTGAAGTGATAGTAATGCAGACATTGTAACATATACACTAATACACACTTGTTCCATGAAGACAGTTCTGTTTTATCTCATTCTCTGATTCCTTCACTGTCATGTTTTCAGGGCTGAATGCTTGACAAAAGATAGATCTGAGTAAATGTTTATGGAATTAAGGAATTGGAGAACTATTTGAAATAATGTATGTAATATATCTAACATAATACCTGGGACTAAACTAAGAATTTTCATTATTGACTTTATGTTAGGAGTTAGAAATACTTTGAAGAAGTGGCTGGCTTGAAAATAATAATGAGAGAGTTTCATTCTTCCCTTCCATTCAAGTTGTATACCACATAAATTTACTAACTCAATTTTAAAAAATAACTAAAAAAGCCCAAGGCACTTCTGCAGGGACTCTTACAGAGTAAGACATAATCTAGTAAAGTCAGTGGCCTTCAGTGTCATGGCATGATGCCCACGTGGTCAGTACCCTAAATCTTTCCCTTGCTACCTTTTTTCTCATTATAAATAAGCTCTATTTCTGTGTGATGGGCAGCCCTTGAAAAGATCTGAGGGCATTGAGAAATTCCATAAAGATGCTAAGTGTTTAGTGTTCTTTGTGGGTAAGAAATGGTTTCTGGGTCTCTGTCTCTAGTGTTCTGGAAGACAGAAGAAAGATAAGCTGAAATTGCATCCAAAGCCAGGGAGAGTTTCAGACATAAGGGAAATTTAAAGTTATGCCCAGCCCAGGAAAGTGGGGATGGAATCACAATGAATGGAGTGTCTGAAGACATTCCTACTACAAAAGGGAACAGAATAGGGAAGGGGCCCTGCATTCTCACGGTCTTCTTTATTGCAACTAACCTAGTGAGAAAGGCAGAAAGGCTTCCTTTTTCTTGAATTGCCCATTCTCCAAAAAATGCTCTGGATTGAAGATGTCAGGGGTGGCCCACTCTGTGGGGTCCCTGTGCAGTGCAGTCAGATTGGTCAGGATCATGGTTCCCTAGAGAAGACAGCAAAGACTCAGGCAGGACTTGACACACACGATACACACACAACAGATGGGTTGTGTCCTCAGGCTCCCATGTAGTGTCTTAACCACATTGTGAAGTCCTCCATCTCCCCAAACCACCCTGTCTTGAGCCCAACTCCAAGGGACCTCCTGTGTAATGGGACAGGTAGCAGTGATGGGTTAGTATTGCCTGCTGGGAATTTTACCAGGGAGGTTGGCTATTGTTAACTACAGAATGGATCCTCTCTAAGTGAAGGACTTGGGACAGGACATGTAAGTATCAATGAGAGAGCACTGTGACATCTAGTCAGTCTGTGCTATGCCTAAATCAACTCAATTGTTCAACGGGGCCAGAACTATAGCAGCTACTCAAAGTAAAAATGGCTTATTCATTCGTTTCTCTCATTCGCTTCCCTTCAGTATCTAGTACACTGCACCCTCTCTCCACAGATGTAATAATAAATCATGTAGCCCAGGGAATGGAGCTCCATTCATCCAGGAACATACCAAGAAGTGAAGGTAACTCCCATACTGAGCTTTTCCTTCACTCTGCATTTGTCCACACAGAGCAAGATATGTCAACTTTACATTAAAATTTCCTTTTCTATCACCTCCATTTGATGTCCACCACCCTAGGTCAGGATGTCACCTTGAATGCCTAGACACCTGTACTAGTCTCCTAATTTTGCCCTTATACATCCTGTCTTGCCCCTCTCAGTCTACTCCACATCCTGAAAGCAGTGTGCTGTGCACAGGATGTAATCATGCCACACTCCCCACCCATTCACACCTCACATATGACACCCTGCCTCTCATCCTTCTGAGGGCAGACCTTCTCTTGAACCCTGACTGAGCGAACCTCCTTCTCTGTCTATACTCCTTCTACATGGCCTGCTTCCACACATAGCCTGTTCCCAGTCATCTCAGTGCCTTCTAAATGCTGTTTATCTTGCTGAGAATGTTCTTTCCTCATTGACAACAGGCTGACTCTTCACCATCCTTTGATCCTCAGTTCAAACATCACTTCCCTTTGAAGCCTTCCCTGACCACCACCTGCTCCTACTCACCACTCCAGCTCATCTGCATCTCTAGAGGGTACAATATGCTTCTCTTTTGGGAAGGTTCCATGGTTTGTAAGTTGGTATTTGCATGATTATATTGCTCAGGGCTGTTTTCTTAGACCTGAGCATTTCAGGTGCCTAATAAATATTTGGTGAATTAATAAAGAATAATGATTGCTATTTTAAGCACTTCCCATATTAAGCATGACATGCTCTATATGTATGATTTCATTTTACTTCTATGTAGATCCTCTGAGGTGGGTTGAAATACACTTTATTGGTAAATAAATTACAGCTCTCAGAGGTTAAATAACAGTTCCAAAGTCCCACAGTTCGATGAGGAAGAGCTATATTGAACTACATTTATCTGATGTCAAGGCCATGACTGTGGGCTCTGTTAACTTATAGTCAATTTGATTTCTTAGTTCCCAGGATGTATATTAAACTTGAAGCTAAGAGTTAGTGATAGGAGCTGGGCTGTTTTCCTGGAGTTGCTAGGAAAATGCAAAGGCACCTGGAAAATTTAAACCTCAACCTCACCTACAAGACGGTCAATCAGGAGATAGTAAAGGCAGTAACTGTTTTTCCTGAATCTGTCAGGACATTAACCAAGTAGTTTGCAATGGGTAAACTCTTGGGGTTCTAGTTCTTGAGATTGTCTCCAGCCTAGAGAATCCATAATACATGATATTATGTTAGCAAACCTGTATTAATGTGATTCTTTCACATTTTTATCCTCAGATATCCTTACACATTTTCATTCTATAATCCAAAGATTGTGAAGCAGAATTTTCCAAAGTCACTGTGGCAGGTCCCTAGTCCTGGGAGATGTTTTACAAAACCAAAAAATGGGTTTTACCCCAGAATCTGAGAACTGCTACCCACAGAGATTCACAAAGCTCCTTACTGTAGTAAAAACACCAAGGATCCCACGGCAAAGAACAGCTAGTTTCTGCCTAAACATATCTGACCTAGGATCCTCTCTTCTCCAGGGAGATTAATGTTTTAAAGATCATGCTTGGAGATAAAACCTGTATTATATCAAGTACCATATAACTTTCCTCATTTAAGAGATTACTTAAGACAAAAGCATATGTCACTTTTCAAGTTTGGCTTTCTACCATCTGAAAGATGGGCTTGACGATCCAAGGCTGGGAGTGTCTAATTACCTTGGGAAGGTGGTATCCAGCCAAAGTGGTATCGACTGTCACTTCCCTTGCAACATTCAGGGGGAGGATGTTGCCCATTCTCTGCACCTCATGGATGAAGGCGTTGGTATAGGGCATGGACTCTCGGACGGCCATGCTTGGCTGTTGCCACTGGCCAAGCACTCTGTCAATCTCAGCCTGCACTTTCTCTGGAAAAGAAGAGGAGGTTCTATAATTTTTTTTAACCTTTAATGCTTTCTTTCCAAAGATGAAGGAGTTCTCTCTCAGAGAGCATGTATCTCTGTTTGTTATCAATTCCTGACAGGGTTGCAAATAAATAGTTATTAACCCTTCTAATAGCTTGCTTAGCAAACGGCCAGCTTCACAACTTTCCATGAGCCTGGTTGGACTAAGGAATGGAATAACCACATCAACATGGCTAAGCTCACAGTAGGATCTTGTCTTAGTCTATTCAGGATGCTACAGTAAAATATCATAAACTGGGTAGCTTAGAAATGAAAGATACTTATGTGTCACAGTGCTGGAGCCTGGGAAGTGCAAGGTCAGAGCACCAGCAGATTCAGTGTCTAATGACTTGCTCTCTGGTTCCTAAATGGCAGCTTCTCACTGTGTCCTCAAAGGTGGGATAAGGTAGCGCTCTGTGTGTCTTTTATAAGGGCACTATTATAAGAACTATTCATTTAGTAAAGGCTACACCTCTAATAATATCACACTGGTACTTAGGATTCAGCATATGAATTTGAGGAGGGACACAAATATTTAGACCATAGAAGATTTACAGTCTAATTTCCCAGGGTGACAGATGAACATTAGTTGGGGGCTCTGGTGTACAATCTGGTGGCAAATGCTTACTCTACAACATTACTGCTGCAAATGCCTCAAACTCTTTGAGCTTCAGTTTCCTCATCTAACTAGTGGGGATAAATAAACTTTATCTCTAGGATGCTTTGAGATTTACATGAACTGGTTCAGATAAACCACCAAGAAAAGACAAAAAATTGGCTGGTTGTTCTCCAATATCCATTTTCTTCTTTCTCTAGAGAAACAGAGAGGTTTAGCTGGATACTTAGTTGTGCAGCTAAAGACAGTAGTTTCCAATTCTTTCTGTGTAAATGTGAGCACGTGACTAAGTTCTGAGTAAGAGAATGTCAATAAAAATGATATTTAATCTTTAAAGGAAGGGAGTGTGTGTCTTTCCACTTCTCTCCTTTTTCTTGGTGAAACAGTAGCCCTTTTGTTGTACCAATTCAAAGAGTGTGAAGAAGAGTTTCTTTCTGGACACAAAAGAGCAATATTAGATGGAGCTGGAACCATAGGGTTTTGCTGAATCCAGCTTTTTTTTTTTTTCCTGTCCATTAATAAAATTAAATAGGAAAATACACATAAAATTTACCAGCTTAGGGCCGGCGGGTGGCATAGTGGCTACATTGCTGGACCCCTACATAGCCAGCTGTGAATGGAATCTCAGACCAGTGGCTTGAAAGTCACCCTGGTATATGTGCAGGCAAGCCCAAGATCCTAGGAGGAGAATGGAAGAGAAGGGATTGTGACATGGACATCCCCACCAAAGGGGTTTTTTCCCTTTCCTTTTTACTGTCTCTGTCTCTTTCTGGCAAGCACACTTTATGTTATGGCAAAAATCTCTTGAAAAGAGTTATCATCTTAGTTATTTTTAAGTGCACAATTTAGTAGTGTTAATTACATTCACATTGTTGTACAACCAATCTGCATGCATATAAGGTATACTTGGTATATTTTTATATGAGAGAAATAAAGTCTGATGAACAAACTTGTCCTTAATACATAGAAAACATCAAGTTCTTTTCTATACTATTTGCATTTAAGGGAAAAATAGAGGGTCTTGACCTACTAAATTATCTTATGTCCTATTAATAAAATTCTACCCACAGTTTGAAAATCTGTTCTACAATTCCCACTCCTAATGTGTTATAAGCTGTTCGAGAACATAGAGGGAAAAAAATGATAAGTATGGTCATTACCCTTAAGTGGGCTAGGGTCTGTGGGGAAGCTATATAGCTAAGGTGCAATAAGTATAGTAATGAAGGCATATTAGGTCACTTCTGGATGAATTTAATGATAATGATTTCCTAGCTAGAAATCTGTCACCAGAGTGAAGTACCATCCTAGGGAAGTAGTGCTTGGACAAATTCATCAAGAAGAGCTAGAGAAATTGGGGAAGGAAATTCTTAGCAGAGGGAAAAACAAATGTCATGACAGAGAAGAACAAATAAAGACAGTACAAATCAAATGTCAAGTAATTCATTGGAGATATCATGCAGGGTGAGTGGGATTGAGGCTGGACAGGCAAGGAAGAGCACACCAGAGAGCAAAGGAGTTTGGATATTTTCCAGGAAAAGAAGGAAGGTATGCCTTAACAGAAGGGAAGGACTCCAACAGATTTTCCAATGAAAAGGTAATCCTTTCCTAGACTTATCAAAATGTCAACCGATTCCACTTTTTGCCCCCTAGATGCCAAGTTTCTTAGGGACTGTGTTAATTTGTCTTACTTGGACTCTTCACAATTGTGATAGAAAATATGAAGAATGTACCAGCTCCTAAGCCTGCTTCATCTTATGATCACTCTACTGATCTCTCCTTTCTATTACGCTCTTTCTGGCCCCAATTTTGTGCATCATGTTCTGAGAGGCATTGATCTGTCCAGCTCCAGATACACTCACAGACATGCTCACCTTGGATTTCGGGGTACACGGCCAGGTAAAGAAGACCCCAGCGCAATGTTGTAGAAGTTGTCTCTGTTCCAGCAAAGAAGAGGTCCAGGGTGGTGCAGATGAGATTTTCTTCATCAAAACTTGAAGTAGCATTGCTCTTATGCTAGAAAGGACAGTGTTGATTGGTTTATTCAGAGGATTCATGGTTGCCACTAAAGACAGGTGCTTTATCCTACAGAGGAGTTTTGGGAGAGAGTTCTTTTGACTTTTCCTTTGGCCTCCTCAAGAGACAGCATTATTACAACAATATTACTGTCATTTTCCAGTCCCAAGTTTTGGAAGCTAACAAAAAACTTCTGGCCCTTAGTTGGATGAAAATCAATACAACTGTTACCTTATGCAGGTTATTAGAAAGAGCTACAAAAATACACTAGGAAAAGAATGAGAGGTGAACATACTTTCCCAATGTCAGCCTTACCACTCAGTAGCTATGTGACCCAGGGCAAGCTACTTAATGTCTCTGTGCTTCAGTGTTTTTGTTTTATAAACAGAAACAACAATGTGTACCCACTAAGATATCATGATCAATTACATGAGACAGAGAGGTAAAAATAGTCAACAAATGTTCATACCGATACCAGAATGATGGTGGCAGATCTGATTGAGTTAAGGAATCCGAGTTGGAAAGATTGTCCTGGACCCTTCCAGTGGGCCCAGAGTAATCACGAATGTCTTGCTAGAAGCAAGAATACAGAGTGAAACTCAGAGGGAGAAGATATAAGGACGGAAGCATGGATCAGAGAGGAGACAAGAAACTACATTGCAGGCATTGAACAGGAAGGTAGGGGCCACAAGCCAGAGAATAACAGAAGGTAGAAAATTCAGAGAAACAGATTTTTATCCAGAGCCTCCAAAAGAAACCACCCTGTCAACACCCTAATTTAGCCCAGCGAATCTGACTTCAGATTTCTGCTATCTGAAGAAATAAATTTGTGCTATCGTAAGTGACAAAGGTTATGGCAATTTCTTAGAGTAGCAAATGGAAAGTTATTTATTCCTATTTGTTCTTTCACAACAAAACACAGGAAACAACTTTGTTTTCCTCACCTTTGCCATTTCCTTGAGGTAAGCATCAATAAAGTCTCTTGTTTCCTCAGGATTCCAGTCTCTCTTATGTTTTTCAATCACATGAGCAACAAACGATTTCAGTTTTTCCCAGTATCTGAAGAGAGTTTGGTGGGGTCCAGGAAGGAATCTCATTATTTGTGGGAAGATATTGTAGAGCTAATTGAGAAAAACAAAACAATCATGGTGTCCACATGATGCCACTTGTTATCGTTTAACAGAAACAATCTTCTTTTCCTTTTATTTGCTTAAACCTTGTTGTTTTCTTTTCTCACACACTCTTCTAAGTTTTCTAGATAGAATGTCAACTCAACACTCAAAACATACCCAGCCTCGAACCACTTCTCACCACAGACTGCCTGCCACCCACCAACCAACCACCAACATGGCTTAACTTGAAGCTGAGAAAATGTTCAATGGTTTTCCTGTTTCCATTCTTAACCCCATTCCCAACCTATTTTACACAGATTTGTCAGAGAGATTACTAAATAGTTTACTTACCTCGTTTCACTCCTTGATTTTCAATCCTTCAATGGCTTTTCACTACACTCAAAGTCTTACACCATTCCTCGGGCATATAAGCCCTGCTTGTATGTGCACCTCTCTCTCCTCTCTTCTATTGCTCCCCGTCATCTTACTCTTACTGCCCATGGTCCATCCACAATGGCTTGTGATCACAGCAAGGATGTTTCTGTTTTAGGCCAAATAGTTGCTATTTCGAACATATAGAAAACTCTTCCTCTGAAACTGTTAACTCCTGCCTCTTACTTTAGTAAGGCACTGCTCAAACGTTATCTTTTGGGAGCTGTCTTATCTGGTGATGTTGTAAGTATGAGCACTCCTGTTACCCTCTGTCTAGATCCCTGTCTTATTTTCATTCATGGCAATTACCACTAAAGTGTGTGTGTGTATTCGTGTATGCTCCCGCTACTATGATGTAGTGTATGTGTGTGAAACTTTACATTGTTTACTGAAATAGTGTGGGGTTTGCATACATTTTCTCAGATATCTGCTGGAAAACAAAAACAGATCAGATAGAATAATAAAAAAACTACCTAGACGTCAAATGAGATATGTTCTGCTGCATTCTAGCTATGTAGATTGGTAAAAATAATAATAAAAATGTAGCTTGTTGATCTTTAAGTAGCTGCCAGAGGGAGCCACAGTGATTCTGGGGACTGAATGGTGTGAGGAACAAGAGACCACTGAGCAATGAGCCGGCAGACCCATTCCTGTATTTCCTTGCACACTCCCAGAACAGCTTTCACATACCACGTTGCTTCATGTCATCTTTATAGGGCTGTGAAAATTAATGGAGATAGAGTATGTGCACTTGCCCATCAAAGTGCCTAGTATATTTGGGGACACTAAGAAATGCTTATTGCCCATACCTATTACTCTTTCACTCCCTCTAGGAGTTCTTCCTTCCTGAGACAGGTAGCTAGAAAACATGGTCACTCACTGAACTCTCCCATCATCCTCTTATCTGTCTTAATAAGAGGAAAACAAGTTGAATTGCTGACCTGAGGAATGTTGGACTACAAGCAAAAACAAAGAATGCAAGATATCTTTGATGATAATTATAATAACTCACATGTGTTATACCCTTTTATGTGCCAGAAATCATGTGAACTGATTTATCAGATTGGTGTGATGGGTCCATAACATACCAGAAAAAGATGTTTGTCAGAGGACTAAGTAGAAATAAATCCACTTCTAGATACATCATAAAGAAACTAACCATCAGTGAGGTCTTAAATGCAGCCAGAGAGAAAGAAAGAAGGAAAAAAAAAGAACAGTTTAAAGTTACATGTACCTCACAACGTAGCTGTCAAGTATACGAAATATAAATTGACAGAAATATAAGGAGTGATAAATAGATCCGTCATCTTAAGAGAAAATTTTAGCATAGTGGTACTCTAGTAAGCACAATAAAACAATAAAAGGAAGTTAATGTTGAAAGAACTGGACAGGAAACATCAAAGCTATTAATTATTTGATATAATATGATTGTCTGTGAAGTCATCCACAAATTAATTACAACATTGATATGAGCTTTTCAAAGCCAATTAATACAAAATTGATAACCAAAAGTCCATGCCAACGAAACAAAAAAGAATCAGAAAATCAGAAATTGGCATTTCCAAAGAAATAATGGATGCAGATAATGATCATCAATAATTTTCCTAGGCATTAGGTATAAAAATGGGGGAACCAGCACATAGCATAATGGCTACATCGCTGGACTTCCATGTAGTTGACCGCAGTTCAAATCCCGGACCCGGTGGCTTAAACTCATGCTGGGTGCATGTGCGTGCGTGCCCAAGATCCCAAGAGAAGAATGGAGGAGAAGGGATTGTAGCATGGCCATCCTTGCTGGGGGTGGTGTGTGATTTCTCGTTTTCTGTCTCTCTGTCTCTGTCTGTCTTTCTGGTGAGCACACACACCCTCTAGCAAAAACTTCTCAAAAAAAAAAATGGGTGGGGGATGATATAATAGATAGATCAGGCTGATAGCACATGAACGTACTGATCAACTTTAACATAAGACAAGCAGACAGTAAGTACCTTTTAGAAAGCATTTCTTCCAAAAAATAAACCTTGATTCCTATTGGTCTTCTAGATATAATTAGAGAAGTATATAAAACATAGGGATACAAGAACATATTAAATGCCAAAATAATGCAACCTGCAAAATCTGGAATGTGGAATACCTCGTAGGACAGATGACTCCATTTTGTCAATACATTGTAGGGCAAAAAAAAAAAAGGATACTCAGAAAGCAAAGGATTAAATGAGACTTGAGAAAAATTTCAAATAAATATAATATATTGACCTAGTTTAGATACTGATTCAAAAAAGCCAACACCCCCCCCCCAAAAAAAGAGACATCTGTATATTGGCTGGATGTTTGAAGATATTAACTATTGTCCGTGTTTTTGAGGTACAATGATATTACATTTTTGCTAAAAATTGTTTTTTCAGAAATATATGTTATAATATTTATGGCTCCAATCACTGAGATCTATAAATTGTTCCAAAATAGTTCACTGATGGGGAGCAGCTAGGGGGCACAGATATGGATGAAATGAGACTGGATACATTCTGAAAACTGTTGGAGCTTTTTGACAGGTACACAGTGATTTATGACTATATTCTCCCTCCTTTTTATATAATTTTGTAATTTTCAAAACTGAAGTGCTTTTTTCCTAACTGAGGTCATTTTTAAAAATTTTGATAATAGGAGGTAATGGCTAATTGACTAGAAGAACTGCACTCCCCTCCTCCTGCTTACTCAGGAGCCCAGGAGCAACATCGTGTATCCAATGTTGCCTTTTACAGAGCAGCTTCTCTAAACTTTTTAGACTAAGTGTGATGGAGGAGTGGGGGACAGTGAGTGATAAATAAAAGGGACCCAGGGATTTCTTCCACATGAGAAGATGGGGGACAGATAGTGCAGTTCTTATAATTCCCCTACTGATCCACAATCTTGCCCTGGGGACAAAAAGAGGAACTCCAGAAAACCCACCTACAACCCCTGTTGCAGAGACTTACAGCAAACCCACCCCAGGCTTCCAGGTGCACAGAGATGGCACATAGTTTCCAACTACCTTGCAGCCTTGCCAGGAGACCTGCCTAGTGTCCTCCTTTACCAATTGTGCCTACCATGCCCACCTGCATTGAGCCATCTGCAGAGAGGTGATGTAGCTTCAGAGAGAGTCAAGCTCTGAAGTGGGCAGCTTCCTTTTTCTCCAGAGATAGTATGCAACTGGCTGGCAAAACAACTAACCACCCTCTGCATCACATCTTTTCAAATAACACCGTCATTCTTCCTGTGGGCAACCTATCCAAGCCATTACTTACTTTCAGTTGATATTTTCACTTGCCTACATTCCCCAAGAGAAGGACTCTGTGATCCAGGAACTCAGGAAGCACATTACTGGGCAGCTACTCCCATCGGTTGGAGGGAACCCACCTCCTCTATAAGTGCGACACTAGTGCACAAATCAATCTTCATTCTCCCAAAACACTCATCTGGAGACTCCAGAGGCCCTTTGGTGGCTCTGTGAATACACAAATTATTCTATAAAGGCCCTAAACAAACAAACAAATAAAACACTGTCACTGAAGAAAGCTAATCATGAAATTAGGAAAAGTATTCTATCAGAAGCTAAAGAATTAACAGGGACACAAAAAACATGAAAAAAAAAACCAGGAAAATATCTCTTCTCAAAAGGAATATACTAACTCCATACTAACAGACAAAACAGAAAATCACGGCAAAATTGGAAATGGATTTGAGAATATTGACGATAACAAAACTAAATGTTATACAAATGAGCATAGAAGAACAATATCAGCAGATGGAAATACAGTGCATAAGATGGAAGAGAGAGTCAACAGAGAGATATATATCTTTAAAAAGAAAACAGATCTTCTGGAGATGAAGAATGCAAGATGGAAAAAAAGAATCCTGATTATTGCATAAGCAACAGGTTAGATCATGCAGAAAAAAGACTACCTGAACTTGAGGAGAGGTCTTTTATTATTTTTTTTATTATTTTATATATATATTTATTTTCTGGAGAGATTTTTGCTATAGGGCATGTATGCTCACCAGAAAGACAAAGAGACAGAAAGTGAGAAATCACCCCCCAGGGGGGGTGGCCACACTGCAATCCCTTCTCCTCCATTCTCCTCTCAGGATCTTGGGCACATACACACGAGCGCCCAGATGAGTTTAAATCACTGGGTCCGGGACTCAAACCGTGGTTGGCCACATGAAAGTCTAGCAACATAGTCATTACACTAACTGCTGGTCCCATAGGAGAGGTCTTTTAAAATGGTCCAAAGTATCAAAAAGAAAAAAAGATCCATTGAAATAAAGAGAACATGCACAAATTATGGGACATGATTCAAAGGCCAAATAGCCACATAATGAGTATCCCAGAAGGCAAAAGACAGGAAGAAAGAAGCATAGAAAAATTTATTGATGAAATATTAACTGAAAACTAATCTTTTACAAGATACAGAAATTCTGGGGACCAGCAGTTAGCGTAATGGCTATGTTGCTGGACTCCCATGTAGTCGACCGCGGTTTGAGTCCTGGACCCGGTGGCTTAAACTCACACCGGGCACATGTGTGTGTCCAAGATCCCGAGAGGAGAATGGAGGAGAGGGGACTGCGGCATGGTCATCCCCCCTGGGGGGGTGATTTCTCACTTTCTGTCTCTCTGTCTGGTGAGCGTACGCGCCCTATAGCAAAAACCTCTCAAAAAAAAAAAAAAAAAAGATACAGACAATCTGGATCCAGGAAATTCAAAGGATCCCAAACAAATCAACTTAAGAATATTGTCTCCAAGGCTTATTAGAGCCAAAAGGTCAAAGATAAAGAGAAAATCATAAAAGTGGCTAGAGATAAGAACCAAGTTACCTATAAAGGATATTTTATTAGACTAACCTCAGATCTTGCAGCAGAATACAGGCCAGGAGGGAATGGGGCGATGTGGTCCAAATTATGAAGGAAAAACAGTTTTAACTCAAAATGTGATACTCAGAAAAGTCTTCTTTCAAATTGAAAGAGAGAAACAAAAATCATTCCCAGAAACACATAAAAACTCAAAATAAAACAAAACAAAATATCCATCTCTTCTTGTAGGTTTTCCTGCTTATTAGTATATATTGGTTTTTAGCAATCTTTAATAATATTTTATATTTCTGATATTCATTATAGTGACCTGTTTCATTTCCAAATGTATTTAGCTGGACTTCTCTCTTTTTCTTAATTAACTAGTTAATTGTTTAGCCATTTTCTTTATCTTCTCATTCACCAATACTAGACCAACTCATCAAAACAATACTTACAGAAGTAATACATCTGGAAACAGAAGGAAGATAAATAGTACCTTGGAGACATGTGAAACTATAAAACTCACTAGTAATTAAAAATAAATCAAAAGTTGGTTCTTTGATAAGATAAAAATGATAAATAATTACCTAGATTACCTAGCAAAGAGAGAAAAGACTTAAATAAATACGTCAGAAATCAGAGGACATTATAATGAATATCACAGAAATATCAAATATCAATAGAAATTACTAAGAGTAAACCTATTCTAATAAGCTGGAAAACCTAGAAGAAACTGATACACTTCTTAATACATATAGCATACTGGGACCAGCAGTTAGTGTAATGGCTATGTCGCTGGACTCCCAGGTAGTCAACCACAGTTTGAGTCCTGGACCCAGTGGCTTAAAACTCACGCTGGGTGTGTGTGTGTGCGTGCCCAAGATCCTGAAAGGAGAATAAAGGAGAAGGGATTGTGGTATGGCCATCCCCCCTGCGGGGTGATTTCTCCCTTTCTGTCTGTCTTTCTGGTGAGCGTACATGCCCTATAGCAAAAACCTCTCCAAAACAAGCAAACAAACAAACCATATAGCCTACTTAGATTGAATCAGGAAGGTACAAAACACCTAAATAGTCCAATATCAAGAACAAATTGAATGAGGGGACCAGCAGTTAGTGTAATAGCTATGTCGCTGGACTCCCATGTAGTTGACCGCCGTTCGAATCCCGGACCCGGTGGCTTAAACTCACGCTGGGTGAGTGTGCATGCGTGCCCAAGATCCTGAGAGGAGAATGGAGGAGACGGGATTGTGGTGTAGCCATCCCCCCTGAGGGGTGATTTCTCGCTTTCTGTCTCTCTGTTTCTCTCTGTCTTTCTGGCACGCACACATGCCCTATATTTAAAAAAAAAAAAAATAAACCTCTCCCCTCCCCCTCCCAAAAAAAGAAGAAGAAATTGAATGAATAACAAATAGTCTCCCAACAAAGAAAGCTCTGGTCCATATGGCTTCACTGTTGAATTCTACAAATTGTTTATATAAAGAAAAAATTAACACCATCCCTTGTCATACTATTTGAAAAATCAAAATGGAGGAATCCCTTTCAAACTCATTTCTGAAGTCACCTTCACCTTGATATCCTTGATATCAAAAATAGATAAGAACACAACGACAAAAGAAAATTATCATCAACAACCTTAATGAATACAAATGTGAAAATATTTAGTAAGATACTGGCAAACTGAATTCGATGACATAATAAAAATATTATATAACATGACCAAGTAGGATTGTCCCAGAGATGCAAGAAGGTTCAATAAACTCTAAATAGTATTTTAATACCTCACATTAACATAAAGAAAACAAAAACCATATGATTATATCAATTGACACAGAAGCATTTGATGAAGTATAACATTTCTTCATGACTTAAACTCTCAAAAAACAGGTATATTAGGGATGTTGTTAAGACAATAAAGGCCATATATGACAAACCCACAGCTAACATCACACTCCATGGGAAAACTTTGAAAGCTTTTCCTTTCAAAACTGAAACACAAAGATGTCCACCTTCTTCAGTCAACCTAGTACAAAAAGTCTAAGCCAATACAATGAGACAGAAAGTAAAATAAAAGACATCTAAAATGGAAAGGAGAAAATAAAATTGTCCTTAGGTTGCATATAGTATGATTACATATATAGAAAAACCTAAAGAATCCACATAAAAACTCTTAGAAGTTATAAACAAATGCACAAAGTTGCAAGGTACAAAGTCAACATTCAAAAATCTAGCACCGGGCCACCTAGTGGCATGGTATTTGAATCCAAAACATGGTGGTGTGAAAAAACACAACAGGTGCATATGTATGTGAGCCCAAAATTCTGGAAAGAGAATGGGAGAGAAGGGATTGCAGCATGGCCATCCCCAATGGAAGTACTTTCCCACTTTCTCTCTCTCTCTGGTAAGCATGTGAACCTTCTAGCAGGAAACAGAAACAAAACTGTAGCATATGCTTTTGCCATTTGTGGCTGCAACTGGTCACAGTATCTTTAACAAAGATATGGAAAAGAAAACCACCTTACCTGGCATAGAAATGAAACCTCCAGACATACGACTTCATCCAGTAACTTCAGCAGCTCCTGAAACTGACCATCCTGGTACTCAAAGCGCTCCCCAAAGGTAATGGAGCAAATTATATTGGAAACTGCTTTGTTGATCTTAAAGTGAGGATCAAAAGACAGTCCTAGCAGTGGAAGAAGGAGGAGATGAATCCTTCAAATCGGATTGTTTCTATTTAATAGTTAAAAGTCCACTCTATATGAAATAACACATCCCTAGTACAGAACCATGTATGAGGCTCTGGCCACAGCATAATACACAATGTCTGAAATCTAGCAAGTCCTCAGGAAATGCCAGGGAAGTCAAACTGACAACCCAAGCTTAAATTCAGTAATATGCTTAGTGTCCATCTCCTTGAGGAGTCATGGTCAATTGTTCACTGTTCTACACTTGGTGCCTTGCTGAGGGCTGGGCACAGGGCAAGCACTTAGGCACTTAATATCTGTTTGATGAATGAATGGGCCACAGTGTCATGTGCTGTCTTGTGAAATGCTCACCATTCTCCTCCTTCATTGCCTCAGCGAGGTAGTGGGCCTCCTCCTGAATGCGCTCCTCTAGGCTCTTCTTTCCTAAACCAAAGTTCCTGAGTGTCATCAGGGTGAACCTTCTTTGCTCCTTCCATTCCTGGCCATTGGACATTATCACACCTAGGAAAAAGAAAGCCAATATTATGACATCTTAATTATATAAAGGGAATATCCAGTAAATGGTATGAGGATAGGTATCACACAGAAGAAGAGCATTAAGGTGCATAAAAATTATTCAGAGAAATAATCCCAAAGGAATGATATAATGGCTGAGATTTACTGACTATTTTAAAATGTTAGTCACTTCAGTAGGTAATTTTTTAATGCATTGTGCATTATTTAATTTAGTACTCACACAAAGTCTATGAAGCAGGTATAATTATTACCAACCCGCCATCATTTTACTGAAGAAAAAATTGAGGAACAGAAGGCAATGTTTAAAGTAAACTTCACGAGATCACACAGCCGGTAGGCAGCTAACTGGGCATTCACATTCAGATCTGCCTCATTCCAAAACCCAAGCTTCATTATTAGTTATGCATGTTCAGTCAAGTCCTTGAGTTATACTAGTACCAGGAAAGCACTCATGGATGAGACAAAATCCATACTCTTAAAGAAGCAAAGAAAGGGTTAGTAGAAGTGTCCTGTTGGAGATGGACCTGAAAAAATGGTGGACTGACTCAAGAAAGGAAAGATGGGGGCCAACCCAGTAACACAGTGGTTAGGTGCTATGGCTAAGGAACTGGATCCAAAATGGCCGACTCTGGTTACAATTTTAGCCCCCAGGACTTAAACCCACATGAGCACATGTATTTGTACACCCCAAATTCTGAGGAGATGGAGAAATGAAAAAAAAGTACTGCAGTATGATCGTATCCCATTGGGGGTTCCTTTTTTCCCTTTCTCTATGGCAAGCACATCTATCTTTGCTATTAAAAAATGAAGAACTGAATATTTTATGCAGACATACAGCATAGGCAAAACAAAACAAAAAATCTTGGAATGTTCAACTCACCATCATACACTTCATACCAGGTAATGCCATGCCCCTTTCCATTTCAATTACAGAGCATTCAACTCCTTTGAAGATATGGCTTTGGCCTCCACTATCTTGTGAAATAGCTCTCCTTGTTGTCAGATCCAGGGACACCTTTTGACCTCATCTTACTTGGTATTTTAGCAGCATTATCCACTTCTTTCCCTTCCCATGGTACTCTGAAACCACACGCTACAGATTTTTATCCCAGTTCTCTCCCATCAATTTCCTATACCTTTTGCTAGTTCACCTTGTATCAAACTTTAAAATGGTGGAGTTTTTTTAAAGAAATTTTTGCTATAGGGCATGTGCGCTCACCAGGAAGACAGAGACAGAGACAGAAAGTGAGAAATCACCCCCACCCCCAGGGGGAATGGCCACGCCGCAATCCCTTCTCCTCCATTCTCCTCTCAGGATCTTGGGCACACACGCACACGTACCCGGCATGAGTTTAAGCCACCAGGTCTGGGACTTGAACTGCGGTTGACTACATGGGAGTCCACCGACATAGCCCTTATGCCAACTGCTGGTCCCTAAAATGGTAGAGTTTTCAAGATCAAGTCTAACACTTTTTCTCCTTTAATTCTACATTCCAGAGAAATTATATATCTCCTAAAATTTGGTATAATGTCTCTTCGCAGTGGTATCTATTTCTGAGCTTGACTTGACCCATGAATGCAATAATTAACTGCTTGATTTTGCTGACATAAAGGCTTTGCAAACTCAGCATATCTATGATTGAATCCATGATTTTCTCTATACAACAACCCACCCAGGCAAACCAAACCAAACGCCTCTAAATGCTTCTCCTTTCTCTCACTGTCCCATTTAGGGGTCACCTTAACACCTCATTTTCCCTATATCTAGGTTATCCTGTGTTTTTAGGTTTACCTTCTAAATATCTTAAATCCATGTATCTTCACTGCCTCTTTTTGGAGCTAACCTACTGTCTTTTCTGGCCACCTCTATAGTCCATGTTATCACTTACTCTAACACAAGATGCAACAAAGTCTCTTTTCCCTTAATCTGTTCTCCACATGGCAGGCTAAATGAGTCTTAAAAATGTACAGTGTAAATATGGTAATTCACTTCTCTATTAAAAACCATTCAAGACTTCCATTGTTACTAGGGTTAAAATAAATAGCTTTAACAAGAAGTTGTATAAACTACTTATGGCGAAGCTCAGCAGCTTTATCTCCATTTACTTATGTCCATTTAATTTCTGTACTTACCACACTAGCCACCTTTTAATTCCTCAAGTTCACATCCTTCTCATTTCAGAGGCTTTTCATAATCTATTCTCTCTGCCTACTTATGTCCTCACTTTATTAAATGAATTGTCGAGAAGACTCCTCCATTGCAGATGAAAACTAGTGTTTTCAAGGAATAAGAGAAATGAAGATCGTCTGCTGATAATTCAGCACTAGCCTCTAGTTTTAAGTGGTAAAGTGCCCCCTCCATCCTTCCCTCTGTCTCCCTCTATCTCCCTCTGCCTCTCTCTGCCTTCTCATTTTATTTTTGTAATTTTTCCTTTAAAAATTTTTTAAGGTGAAATATTCTCTTGGCTTTTAGATCCTCCTTTATCTTGCTAATAATCCCCTTCTCCCCACCCCTCCAAGAGAGGCAAGGGGCAGGCCTTCAGAAGACTCCTCCATTGCAGTTGAGCATACTGTATGGTTTTTATTTTTTGCTTTTAAAAAAATAAATTTTTTGGTTGGTTTTTCTTTTTCTTCTTTTTCTCTCTCCTTCTTTTTTTTTTCTCTTCTCTGTTTTCTTATTCATTTTATTTTACCTTGTCACTTTGCTGTTCAGTCTCCATTCACTGAGTGTCTAGATGGATCTAAGGGAACTATAGCCAAACATTTAAATACTATTAGGATCAACATATTTCTCAATACCCACTGAATCTGCTGCACAAAGGGATTAAAAATGGACTGGCAAAGAGATTGCAGATCACCTCCTCCTGCATGCTCCTGAATGCTCAGATTAAACTTCTAGAAATTAGGAAGAAGTATATAACTCATTGAACGACTAGAAATCACTGCAAAGGCACAAGAAATATGAGAAACCAAGATAATACCTCTCCCCAGGGGAAAAGAATAACTCCTCTTCATCCACAAACAGTTCAATGGAAACCATGGAAATGTCTGATAAAGAGTTTAGAATATTCATAGTGACAAAGTTAATAGGGATTCAAGAAAAGAGAGATAATGAACTCCAGAAGAGTCAGGAGAATAGAGCTGGGGAGTTCCAGGAGATGAAGAAGTTCTTTCATGATCTGAAAGAGGAAACACACATCATAAAAAAGAATCAAATAGAACTGTTAGAGATGAAGGCTGTAATACAGGAAATCAAAACCTCCCTTGAAAGTATTAAAAACAGAATAGATCATATAGAAGATCAAATCTCAGATGTAGAAAACAGAATCGCTGGGCTAGAAAAATTCACCAAAAAGACTGAGAAAATATTCCAAAAAAATGAGGATAATACATGAGAAATACCAGATACCATCAAACATCCAAACATCCAGATACTTGGTATCCCAGAAACTGAAGAGACTAATAAGGGCATTGATAATATATCCCATGAAATCCTGGAAGAAAATTTTTCAAATCTAGAGAAGCATTCAAAGATCCAGACCCAAGAAATACATAGGATCCCAAATAAAATCAACTCCAGAAGATCTTCTCCAAGACACATTATAGCCAGATTGACCAAAACTACAGACAGACAAGGAACTCAGACTGGCAAGAGAGAAATGACGAGTTACCTACAAAGGATATCCCATCAGGCTAACAGTGGACCTCTCATTGGAAACAATGCAAGCAAGGAAAGAATGGGAAAACATATTCAAAGTGTTGAGTGAACAAAAATTTCAACCAAAAATACTATACCCAGCAAGATTATCCTTCATGTGGGGAGAGAAGACAAGAATATTCTCAGATAACAAAACCTGAAAGAATTTAGAGACACCAGACCAGTTCTCCAAGAAGTTCTGAAGGGAGTGTTATATCAGGAAAACTAAAGTCAGACACACAGAAATAAGAGTTAAAAAACATTTAAGAAAAGGGCCAGCTTAATGGTAGGTACAAGTCCAGAGTTTAATATTATCTCTCAGAACTTAAACGAAAAGCTTGGACCACAACAGAAGTTAGGTTAAGTACATGAGACTGAGCTGATGAACAAATGTTTGATTTGTTAGAATTTTATGGCTTTTGACTGAAACAATACTGATATTTTTCTATGCTTTTTAGTACAGAGATAAGGATTTCTGTCTTCTCTTGAATTGTCAACAGATCCAGGTAACTACTATTTGAACAGAATCCTAACCTGCTTCCTGGCTTTAAGTCTTAAGCAAAGTTCTCTTAACATTTTTTGATTTTGATTTATTAAAGCTAAAACTACCTTTCTTGAAATTAAAAAATATATTTAAAAATACCGATTTAATGACCACAGTAAGCTATATAGCCTCACCTAGGTGCTATTTTATAGTATATTCATTCTACTCAGTTTCATGTCTAAAATCAAACATTTGTTCACAGATATTTATATATCAGCTGAATTTGTTATTGAAAGTAGTTAGATCAATTATTTTGTTAATCAATAAAATGTGGGAGAAAATAAAAAGAATAGAAGCAACTGCAGATACCAGAGATAGAGAGGGAGGAGGGTGGGATATGGCAGAGGGTGAGAAATGGGGAGGGGAGAATATATATATGAAATAAGAAATGGAAAATTATTTGTGATGATAACATGCATGACTAAGCCATTATACAGTGTATTCTGGATGGAAAACACCATCTTGTATGCTGTGATGATGTTCAGTGAGTAAATGCAAAGTAAATAATATTTTTTTAAAAAAAGAAAGTAATGTGGAGCTCAAAAGTTACTGACAAGTTTATTCTCTTAATTTCTGTGAGGTAACATGGTGTTTGTTTTATAATAAATCTGACCTGTACATTCAAAAATAAAATAAAATAAATGAATTGTCATTTACTTACATTACTATTTCTTGAATTCCAAGACTATATTACCTCCCCTAATAAGTATGCCTTGTACTAATCTTCATAACAATATAGGCTTTTAATTACTGTAGTTAACTGATTCTGTCTTTCTTCTAGTAGAACATAAGCTACATAAAGACATGGGTTTTACCTCTTCTGCTCACTGTTCTATCATTCCTGGGTAGCACCATGCTTCATGTGGCAGGTAACACAGGTAGTGGATACCCTATTAATTGATGAAATAGTGAAATGGTACATTGAAAGCACCTAAAAAACGGTGCCTTGATAGAGTAACAGTGTTGAGATTTGCATTTGGATGTTTAAATGCTTAGTTTTATTTTATGGTAAAAGTCTTAAATACTCATGCTAACCTATTCTAATATAAACTTGGAAACTCGAGACAACCTGTGGGGCATGGACTTAATGACAGAGCCTAAGAGACAAGGGGCAAGAGGTTGCAGAAGCAGAAGGAAACAGATCGACATCATTTATCTGAGGCAGAAGTCTGGAATGGGAAAACAGAACACATTGTGTTTTCCTTACACTGGGTGATATGGGTACTTCACAATCAAAGCACCCTCTGCTATAACCGGGTGATACGGTTAGTTCAAAATCAAAGCACTCAGACTGAGTTTGTGTGGGACATGTGATTTCTCCCAAATCTCTATTAGGGTGAACTCTGCCAGATCCTCTAGAGGGTACCTTCTTCAAGGAAATGTGGACACCAAGCTACATTTAGTGGTAGAAATCGTATCATGGGGCTGGATTCAGAGAGTATTAGAAAATTACAGTCACAAGCATTTTTAACTGACCATTAGAATATCAAACACACATCTTACATTGGTCAAGAGACTTACCCCCTTTCTTAAAGACATGTTCTCGAATAGGGATCATGGGCCGGTTCATAAAGTTTTGTTCCATGTGGAAAAGGACTTCTTTGATTAAGGGCAATCCGCTTACAACAACAAAAGACATGTCACCAATCTGCAGGTTCATAACGTCCCCATATTTCTTCACGTACTGTAAAACAGTTAAATCACCTTTGACTATGCACAAGTCTATGGGCTCAGGAATGGAGAGTGTGTGTGCGTAGGCAGAGGGGCTCATATTGAGGGGAGCGTGTGTGTGTGTGTGTGTATGTTAGTATGCACTGGGTTTGAAGGGAATGTTTCTGTTTCTAATTCTCCTCCACTCTACTTGACTTGGATTCAACTCCCTTTATGATGCGGAAGTTTCCTCGTAAAATATTTTATCATGCATCTAACCAACATGAACTGAGTGAGTTAGTCTCCATGTGTCCCTAGAACAAGGCATGAGGTTACTGTAATAACATAAACGAGGTTTCTAAGCTCAAACATCCCAGAGCCTAGTGAAAGCAGATAATTCAACCTATCTGACCCACCAAAGAAGATTGAGAAATCTTGAGTGGAAGTCTGATGTAGCAAGCATGGACTCCTAAGTAAATAATTTGTTTAGCGAGAAGAGAATGCATCTCTCCTAGACAGGACATAGGCAATAGAAACACATGATGGGCAACAGGAAGTACATTGCCATGTGGGACCAGGAATGGAGAAAACACGCTAGTTCTGTCTAGCTTTCAAATTCTGTGACTAATCATGTCATTTAGCGTTACTTGTGGCATGTTTTTCACATTGGGCGATAAAACCTTATCCATCTGTACTTGAATATAAAGTACTCCAGGCATTTTAGGGTAAGGGGAACTAATACTGGTGGCATGCTGACTCTAAGCCTCATGACTGCTGACCATGCGCTGTGTTACTTAATGTTCACAACCACCTGTCAGAGTGCTGTCTCACATCAAGGGACCTGCGCTGAGTGGCAGGGAAACCAGGTAGGTGAGGATTCATGACAAAGTGTCCGATGCCTGAGAACACATTACAGAATTCGGAATTGTCAGAGTTAGGGATTGCTGGTGGGAGATTCTGAAGAGGGGGAAGGAGACTGCCTCAACAGGTCCTAAGTGGGTATAGGGGCTGACCACTGTTGGGGGAGGCGGTGCGAGGCAGAGAAAATTTAAGGAGAGGAATGATATTTAAAAATTATTATGTGGGGCCAGCTGTGTACCCTAATGAAGAGAGCCAGATCCCACGTGGTCAAACAAGGTTGAAGCCCTGGCCCCATAGTTTGAAAAACACAATGGGCCTGGCCCTGCGTGTACAGAATCCTGACCAGCTGGAGGAATGAAGAGATTGTCAACAATGACTCATTGAGGAACTGGAAGAGGGTGCTTTCTCCCTCCTTCTCTCTCTCTCTTGCTCTTTTTGTCTCTCTTTAGTGAGTGCATGCATCCTTTGGCAAATAAAACTAGAAAACATAATTATTTTAGTGCAAGTGCATTGCATGAGAAGGAAAAGGCTTGGGACTAGGGGCTCCTCAGCGTGATGCTGGGGGTAATCAGGTTGAGAATTGCTGAGGATTTAGGTTCTCTATCATCATCTCACCATAGGAAATGCAGACCCTGAGAAGGAAAGTATAACATTTTTCAGAATAATAATATAAACAGGATAACACAATCACGTTATAAACAAGACGTTCCAATATAGTTTAACAAGATGAATTTAAAAATGTAACACTTCTTGCACACTTAGTTAGCATTTAGTAATAGTCTGCCCCTAGCAAGCTCAGAAAGAGTAACTCCCACTGACTAATAATGAAAACGAAGTTCAAAACATAGCCATCCACCCCTGGGTCCCCGTCCCTGGGAATGTCCCTTGTCCTGCAGATCACTGTCAAGGCGTGTTTGCCTATTCCTACCTTCTGAAGTTTCAGGTGCGCCTGCTCAAAGTCCAAATGCAACAGGTGGCCCAGGAAGGGCAGGGGCCAGGGCCCTGGCGGGTAGTTCTTAGGGTGCCGCCTTTTGAGGAAGTCAGCAAAAAACAGGAAGACGACAGCGCCCAGCAGGAGGGTCCGGAGATGGAGCACGGACCAGAGGGCGGTCAGCAGGGAGCCTACCTCCGGGAGCATGTCTCAAATGTCCGCTCGCTCTTAGCTGTTGGATCAGACTAGGTACCCTACAGTGCCCGCGGGGGAAGAGGGTTCCTCGCTTCACCGCAGCTCGGCCCCTCCCACCACCGCAGCTACGCCCCCGCCCATCCGCCGTGCCCCGCCCCCGTCGTGTCCCGTTCACACCGGGTCCCCTCACCACGCCTCCGGCCTCAGGCAATGATGGTGGGCCCCTGTATTCCAGGAGGAATCTTCCAGGGTCTCATAAAATGCCAGGCTAGAGCGGTTACTTTTCTATGTATTTGGGAAACCCCTCTTTCTGCCACACCTTTGAGGTTCTTGGGTTTAATATTTCAATGCTTTCCAGAAAGTGCCACAGATATTTTGAGTTCTTGTTTTTCAGATTCTCACTAGGTGGTGAGAAAGTGACTGGTAAATCAAATGAGAGTAGCATGTAGTATTTTGCGAGTTCTAACCATATGCCAAGCGGTGCATAGTATGCTTCTTTCCATATTTTTTTTAAGACAAAATTATACAGGAGTTATTCCTAATCTCATTTTGGAATCGAAGAAACAGGTTATGTACTAAATACAAGGTGTGTAAGTGAATCCAGTGATCTGAAACACATCTAAACGGGCTCTGCATTTGACAGTGTGTTGTGATTTAAAAGCATCACACCAGACTGCTACAACTGAGCATAGTCTAAAATAGGTACTTAATGAACATTTCTAGAAGGAAAGTCTTAGTCCTGAGCCTTTTGATCTATCCTGTGACGGTCCTGGCTGAAGCTGCAAGGGTGTTAGGTCTTCAGGTTCCAATGACCGGAACCATCCGGTGGTGCCTACAAGGATCTCACCCTTTGCAAAATCCTCAAAACAAGAGGCTTAGATCTGGAATACATTTGTAATCTCATGTACTCAACGTAGAGAGGCACATTCCATTTAATATTTGCTTAAGTACTAAATGAAATGAAAGTGAATTGAAGTCCCTTCCTGTATCTTTTCAAAGTCCGGAGAAAGATAATGGCCAAAGTTGGCTAGTATCCTTCCAGTCCTCATTTCCTCATTTTACTACAGCGATTGCAGCCATATAGTCTTCTTATATTCATATATATGTTATTTTTAAAGAATTAGTCTACAACCGCCTTTTTAAAAGAGAAGAACCTGTTTATGTATAATGTGTTGAGATCAACTCTGATTTATACAGCAGTTCCAACACATTGAATTTAACAGCTGTGCAGTATTCTATTCCTACGTTACAATTGACCTATTCCCATGACACTGGACATTTTGGTTTGTTATCTCTCTTCTTCCCATTTTAATTTTTAATTTTTTTTTTTTTGCATTGAAAAAATCCTGCAGAGCAATGACTTCCATCATGGCAGCATGGGAAGCTTTTTCTGGTGAAACAACAATAATTGGTAAAAATGATTCACAAAGCTCCAACCATGTAAGCCTCTGAAAACTGTTCTAGTGCCATACGATAAATGAAGACGTGTCTTTTAAGAAATAGTCTGGAATTTAAGTTTGTGGCATTTGAGCCTGTAACTTGCTCCTTCTCCCAGTGCCCTGTTGTGTGAGAGAAGCTTCATTCTAGGTCTGGAATAGCTGATTATTTCTCACTGCTTCTACAGCTGCCATCCTTTCAGAAGTCATCTGCACTGCTTCTCTGGATTATTGCAGAAACTTCCTCTTCCTCTTCCTCTTCCTCTTCCTGTGGATGCCCTGGGACCATTCATGTGCACACTGTGTCAGAGCAGTTCTTTGGAACAAAGTCAGATCTTCTTATGCAACTGCTGAAATTGTTGTCTAATAGCTGGCGTCTCACTCAAAGGAAAAGCCACAATCCTTATGATGTCCACTGGCCAATGAGGCCCAGTGCTGTCGTAACTTCTCTGACCAGATCTGGTCCCCTCGCCATCCTTCAGCTGTGCACTCATGCTGCCCTTTGAACATGCCACGCACACTCCTGCCTCAGAGTCTTTGCCTGCTCTTTTTGTGCCTACAAACACCTTCTCAGGGTATCAGTATGGCTTTCTCCTTAGCCACCTTCTGGTCTCTGATCAGAAATTATCTTTGCAATGGGACCAGCAGATGACACAATGGCTGCATTGCTGGATTCACACGTAGTCGACCAAGGTTCGAATCCCAGACCTGGAGGGTTAAACTCATGCCAGATGTGTGTGCATGCGTGCCCAGGAACCAGAGAAGAGAATGGAGGAGAAGGGGTTGCGGCATGGCCATTCCCCTGGGGCATGATTTCTCACTTTCTGTCTATCTCTCTGTCTTTCTGGAGAGTGCACATGCCCTATAGGAAAAATTTCTCCAAAAAAAGAAATGATCTTTGCAATGATTTCTCCAACCACACTATCGAAAACGGCATCACTTCTTGCTTCTGCTTTATTTTTCTCTTTAGCACTAATTCTCACTCAGCATACTATATTTTCTGAGTGTTTATTCTCTCTTTCTCTGCTCCTCACTAGGATATAAGCTCCCTGAGGGTAGAGTTGTCCGTGCACATCATGTCAGAGCAGTTCTTTGGAACAAACAAAACAATTGCCATTGGTTGTGTTTACTGCTGTATAGCCAGTGCACAGTACGTGCTGAGTAAAATAGCTGTCGAATGAGTCAACAGATAAAGGAAAGTCACACTTTAGAAACCACAGAGAATAAAGCAATTTGACAGAGAGATGAAGATAAGCTTATCGAATACTTAAAAAGATAACCAATAGGTTGGATTTCAAAAATAAAAAATGAGGGAACCAGTAGTTAGCGTAATGGCTATGTCGCTGGACTCCCACGTAGTCGACCGCGGTTCGTGTCCCGGACCCGGTGGCTTAAAACTCACGCCGGGCGCATGTGCGTGCGTGCCCAAGATCCCGAGAGGAGAATGGAGGAGAAGGGATTGCGGCGTGACCATCCCCCCTGGGGGGCGATTTCTCGCTTTCTGTCTCTATGTCTCTCTCTGTCTGTCTGGCGAGCTCACGTGCCCTACAGTGAAAATCTCTCAAAAAAAAATGAGATATACACAAAATTTTATGCATAAAATAGCTGACAAGTTTACCAACAGAAGCACCAACAGAATTTATAAATGAAGATACATACTCTTCCAAATTCTGATAGTGTCTAATACATATGATGCCAACTAATTACTGGTACCTTTTGATGCATTTTAAAAGCATTTCTTAGAAACTAGTTTATTCCAAAAAAAGGGAAGATGGTAAGACAGAGGATCAGAAGAGAAGGAAAGTGTCCAGTTATCAGTTCCTTAGATGGTGAGGACAGGATTCAGACGCAGGCTCTCTGTCTTCTGACCATTGTGTGTTCTTCCTCTCTACTTTCCTTTTCCAATTATATTGTGTTCTCTCTGGCCATGTTACTCTTTGGGACTTATTTATTTATTTATTTTTTAGAAATTAGCAGGTGTGGGATTAGGCTACCTGTTGGACTGAATTCTGTAAGCAAATGTGTCTACAAGGTACTTGTGGCTTCACTGCCAAGCCCTATGGCATGCTACCTCTGCAGTCTGAAAAATTAAAGAACAGATTAGAATTTTACCTGAGGACTCTTCTGGACAATTTAGCGGGAACTGTAAAACACCGTTAATCTCCGAAAAGAGCGTTCTTCCAATGGTGGGCAACACAAAGCAGCTCCCAGCCTGCAAGTCTGTGGAAAACTCAGGTGAAATCTGGTTGAACTGCACTGAGATGGTGCGCTACTGGGTTGCCATGGGTGGAGACTGCCCCCACGTGGTCATAGCGTGCAAATACAGAAGCACGCTCACTCCTTTAGTTGATGGGGAGTACGTTGTTGTCTCCTTGTTTCCTTCCGTCATTATGTCCCCAAAACTAAGGCTGTTGACAAGACTCTAGCCATGTCAGTATAGTTTGATATAAAATCCACTGCCCAAACTGAATACAGGATAGGGTACATGTCCCCGAGACAGCTGTTTCCCTGCAGCTTGTGATCTGGGGCCAGCTCACTGCCCATCCTTGACTCCATCTCAGGGTAATTCTTTATTTTGGGCACATGCTAAGCACTCATTGGTCTGGGCTTCTGCATGTATGATCCTGTGGTCTAGAATACCCTTTATTTTCCTTTGTACTGGAAAAAAATATCCAGACTCTTTGAAAACCCATGTAAAAAGTCCCTGCCACCAGGAGCCTGATTTATTTCAGAAAGAATGCAAGACTTCTTTGACCATTCATCTTTCAGACCCTAGAACCATACACCCCACTAAAAACCAGGTAGCTCCTGCTTTCAAGTGGTCTTAATTGCATTTTATTCCAAGAGTTCAGTCTTTTTTTTTCTTTTTAAGAGAGATTTTTTGGGGCTGGTAGGTTAAAGGTGCTGGGCTCCCACATGGCTGACTATAGTTCGAGTCCCAGGCCTAGCAGCTTGCTTTCTCGCTTCCCCTCTATCGCTCTCTTGCTCACTCTGTCCCTCTATGGTCAAATTAAAATGAATGAATAAATAAATAAATAAAGTTAAATAAAATAATTCTTTAAAAAGATAAGAGAGAGAGATTTTTGCTATAGGGTGCGTGAACTCGCCGGAGAGACAGAAAACAAAAAGGAAACAGAAAGCGAGAAATCACCCACCTGGGGGATGGCCATGGTTTAATTCCTTCTCCTGTGTTCTCCTTTCAGGATTTTGGGCATGCTTACACATGTGCCTGGCATGAGTTTTAAGCCGCCAGGCACAGGACTTGAACTGTCCGGCCCTAATGACCTTTCCACCCTGTTTCTCAGCATTGGCTCCTCTGTTCCTGGTGTACTTGATCTCTGACCTACTGAACAATTTACAGGTCCATGGGGCACCAACACTTTCCCATTTCTATGCCTCTGCACATGGCTGGACTGTCCGTGACCCTCTTGTCTGCTCTGAATTTCTAGTTATTTTTTAGGAACAAGGACCACAAGGCCTTTGTCTTTGTCTTCCTCTGACCACTGGAATCAGTTGATTCCCATCTGATAGATGGATAACACTTTTATCTTCCCTTCAGCTCTAATGGTTTTGTTAGTGAAGTGTATTGTGAAGTGTATTGTGGGTTTTTGGTTTATTTGTCCTCATTTCCTGCTAGACTTGAAGGAAGACATGGTA